GTGATCTGCAGAGAAATGAAGGAAAATCAAAGCATCCTTCTCTTCTCCAATAGGAAGAGACTCAAACACAAACATGTTTTGATTCAGATTATGAATCACAGACATTGCATCGAATCGATGATTTACCAGAAAATGTAACTTGAAGGGAGCAAAAGACTTCTCTTGCCCAGCAACAATTGTACAATTGTAAGATTTTGTGATGAGCATGATTATTCGACACTTGCATGTTGAGACTGTGGTCTGATAATTGTGTTGTGTGCAGATTTTGCGACGAGAGATCATGCTATTTTCATGTATGTGTTTTTCCTGGTACCGTTACTTTTTCCTTATTTTTATTTAATTTGCCTTTAACATATATATGTTGTTTGGAATCTGCTTTATATGAGTAGGCAGATCCATCCATGGCTGGTCTCCAGTTAGTATTTTTTGTTTTGTTACAATTAATTTTGCATCTTGTATAGAGACCTAAGATTGATCTTTTCTTGTCTTCCCTCCACAGTTTGCTGGTCACGTTTGGCTCGTCAACTTATATATGCGGCATATAAAAACACGCCGTAATAACTTTTCAGCTTACCTTTTTTTATGGATTAAGAATAACACATTGCTTAGTAATGATCAACTACTAACAGATTGCTCAGTAATTTTCGAGTGTATTTACTCATGTATTTTCATTATTTTTTCTGGGTGATGTTTCAGCAAGAAGCTGGTTTGCTGAGAGGAAATGATCAACTACCAACACTAGGGCTGGAAGCGTTAGCCACTACACTCGCTGCTGCTTAGTATCTATGGAAATTGCTTGGTCTTTTTTGTATGGCTCTATTGACATTAGGTGCTTCAGTTCATCAATCAAATGTTATGTTTTTGTATTTGAAAATTTCTATTGATTAATCCAAGCACAAGGACGCCTTCATTAATCTCGTTCGATATCTATTTCTTTAATACTGGGTTAGATGGCAATGGTTTTATAAATTTTGAGTTTTTTAACAGGTAACAGGTATTGAATGACATGACACAATCAACATGAGATTTATTATTAGAAAAAGAAAAAAAAAAGAAAAAAAAGAAGAAAAAAAAACCCTATCACGGCATACATAATAAGCCGTAATTGCTAGTCAATAGTCTTCATTTACGACAAACACTGCATGTCGTAATTGCTTCTACTGAATTACGGCTCACATTGCAAGCCGTCTAAAGTAATTATAACGACGTTATATGTACGCCTTAATAAGGTTTACGGCGTGATTTTCATGTGATTATTTGCGACTGGAAAAACATGTCGTAATTGAGGAATATCATTTACGACGAGGGCTTTTACTGCTTGCAGCCTTGCGTCGTGAATGACACTTTACGGCGTGCTTTGTGTGCCGTAAATGATATGTTCTGGTGTAGTGACATCTAGAGGTTTCGATGTCAAAAAACCTGTGGTTGTGCCAAAAGATCATCAAAACCTGTAGTTGTGCCTTCTAAATACGATTCTTACGAAAAATAGATGTGATGTTGTCGAATCAATGATTTACCAGATGCTTATAACTTTTGTAATTTTGTAAACATATCAATTTGTTTCGCTAGGCTCAGTCATGTTGCAAGTATTTATTTGAATCACATGTATTAGTTCTTTATTAACAAGAATATTCATGAATCAATTACGAATCAAGAGCAAAATGAGTATGATTTTCCAGATGTTTGTAATTAGATTATGATTTTTTGTAATATGTAAGTTAAAAATTATTTGCAAGCTAATTAATAGAATCATGTGAAAGTATATATTATACTGCTTTATTATTACGTACAGTAATAACCACAATTTCCCACAGCACTTTATCTAAAGGATTACAATCTAATTTCTTATATTTTATATGCATACCACAAAGTTAATCCTTTGTAATTTGTTGAAGGGCCAAATAGTTATTATTTGTTGTGACTTTTTGATATTTTAGCTTATGATGTAAACGTTGCTATTCGTCTTTGAATTCACTACTACAAAAAGGGCAAAAGACGACCAGAAAACGACGGTAGATCAAAAAACCGTGGTTATTTTTTAAAAGACGACGGTAATAGAAACCAGTCGTAGATACATAACTTAAACACCTAAAAAACCAGGATCCGCATAGATATTTCTAAAACACGACGCACCAAATTAAAAAAGCGTCTTCTTATTAAAAAGGTTTTGTTCCGAGTTAAAATCAGAACCTAAAAACAACGACTGCAGCTATGAACTCACCGCCGTAGAAAGTAAAGACGACGGTTTAAAAATCAACTGCCATGTTAACTCATGAATAAAAACGACCAAATTTTCTTAGTCAGCGACGCATAAATTCAAAGGAATCAACGACCGTAAATTACAAAAAATTCGCTGTATTAAATTAATTAACCACGACGGTAAAGATAAATTTATCGACTTTTTAATTACAGTATACTACGACGGTATCTATAACTCTACTGCCTACTTAATTTTCACTAACCACGACAGTTTGTTCAATTAACGACATATAAAATTTCATACCACTTCGTGGAGTTAAAAATACCGTCATATTAATTAACTTTATACGTCTCTCATTATCTATAAACCGTTTGTTTTTTTTTTCTTCGATCTGAAGGCATTCGTCTCAACACTATACAATAAATCCTAGCTAGGTCCTATATGCAGCTTATTTACTCGTAAATAAATAAATAAAACTAAGATGAATTTAATAATTAAAGTATTGTCATAAATATTTTTCATATAAAAGGAAATAAAATTTATAGATAAAATTTAAGCGAAATTGCAACATTGGGAATTAAACACATATTCTCGCGCTAGAGCGCGGTGGTGTGCAAGAGGGGTAATGAACGAGTACGTATAGCACGTTATGTGAAAATGATACATGTAATCTATACTTGCGTGGCACGTAAAGTGATATATACTTGTCTTCCTTTCAAACTATTGTACAAATTGTAATTATTGTCGCCAACTTTATTAACTATCAAAATAATAAATCTTCACTACAAAAAAAAATGGCAACAGTTACCATTATGTCACCAAATTTTGTGACTGTTGTGAGGGTTACTAAAGGCTTTAGTCACCTTTTTTTGACTTTTTTGGTGACTAAAAAGGCTTTTAGTCACCATTTTTGCTTTTTTTAGTGACTAAAGCCTTTAATAACCCCCACAATAGTCACCAAATGTCACCAAATAATGATAATTGTTGGCAATTTTTTTTGTAGTGCTTATTTTTAGACTTACCAATACTTCAACTTTCATATTTGCTTACACCACTATTTCTAACTATTTTAAAGCTCAGTTCTTCTTACATCCTTAGCAAAGGGGATGCCCCACTTCAACATCCTTATAAAACACACAAAAAAGCATAAGTAATTCTTGCTAATTTGCCTAGTCAGCAAATGACGTGGTTATATGACCTCTGACCAATTATTGTGTGTTTTGAGACATGAAGTGACCAATCAAAGGCTGCCATGTGTAATGTAATGTTCGGTCGTGGGAAATCTGGACTGACCTAGACACCCACTATAAATTGGTTAGGCAAAATTATAACAATGGTCCCTGGACTAAGACCAAACTTTACTTTTCGTCCCTCATATTGCTAAATTGTTACCGTCATCTCAATCATCGTCATTTCCGTCATCTCAGTCAACTTTTCCGTTAAAAATGAGGGCATATTTGTCTTTTCAGATTATGAATCACAGACATTACATTGAATCGATGATTTACCAGAAAATGTAACTTGAAGGGAGCAAAAGACTTCTCTTGCCTAGCAACAATTGTACAATTGTAAGATTTTGTGATGAGCAAGATTATTCGACACTTGCATGTTGAGACTGTGGTCTGATAATTGTGTTGTGTGCAGATTTTGCGACATGATGATGAGAGATCATGCTATTTTCATGTATGTGCTTGACTGGTGCCGTTACTTTTTCTTTATCTTTATTTAATTTGCCTTTATATGATGAGTAGGCAGATCCATCCATGGCTGGCCTCCGGTTTGTATTTTTTGTTTTGTTACAATTAATTTTGTAATAAAGGCCTAAGATTTATCTTTTCTTGTCTACCCTCCACAATTTTCTGATCACGTTTGGCTCGTCAAGTTGTGCGGCAGGGAAGTATTCAACTCAAGCACATCTAGAGGTTTTGATGTCAAAAAACCTGTGGTTGTGCCATCCAAAAGATCATCAAAACCTGTAGTTGTGCCATCTAAATACAATTCCTTGAAAGAAAAAAAAAAACAGATGTAATGTTGTCAAATAAATGATTTATCAGATGCTTGTAACTTTTGTAATTTGTAAATATGTCAATTTGTTTCGCTAGAGGCTCAGTCATGATGCTGGTATTTTTTTGAATCACATGTATTAGTTCTTTATTTGAAAATTCACAAGGCACGCGCTTCTACGCCTGCGAGAGGCTTTTTTTTAAAAAAATTAAAATTTATTTTAGAATTAAAAAAGATAATGGGTAGTTGTTTTCAATAAAAATAGGATTCATTATCCGATTTTTTTTTAAATTTTAATTTTTTAAAATATGAAAAATGTGAATTTACCATATTATCCTCATTTAATTAATAATTTCAATTCTTAATGTTTGTATTAACCAAGGGCATTTTCTGGTATTTTGAATGTTTCACCATTCTCTGCCTTTTGCTTTATATATATAGAAGATACACGTTTTATATATAGGTGCCAAGCAAAATCGCTATAACTGAATTTTTTTGTTTCCTTTGTGATTCGTGCCAAACCCGCAACTGATAAAAACTGTTGTCCTTTTTTGAAATTAATATTTTTATTCAAAATTAAGTATAAGATCATTAATCCACCATATATCATGGTGTTGGTTTGATATGGCCCGGGGGAGGAGGAAGAGCTGAGACAGAAAAAAAAAAGGAAATGAGTGAGGACCAGAGAAAAAACTTATTGTGTTAATTACTATCCATTCAAAATAACATTGAGTTTCTTCGGTTTTGATTCCTTTGAATGTAACCAAAAAAAATTATAAACATAAAAAGGCAACTAAGATAAGTTAATTATTAAAGTATTGTCATATTTATCTTTCATATAAAGGGAAGGGAAAAAAAATTGCATCTAAAAGTTAATCAAAATTGCGGAGTGCAAATTTTAGCCTAGGAGATAAACATATATTCTCGCCCAAGAGCGTGCCGAAGTGTAAGCGAAGTAATAGCACGTACAACCACTACTACATTTTACGATTTGCGTGACGATATTTTGCCCGACTGTTGCTTCGATTCAGCTGCACCAAAATAGATTCAGCTGCATCCTCAACTTGTGATACTCGCAAGTGCACGAGCCGTTTGGTAGTATAGCATATGTAAGTGCGAGGTCGATCCCACGAGGATTGGTGATTGAATGATCCAATTTGTTTTCCCTACACAAAATAGAAATGAAAAAGGAAATAAATAAAACAAGAAAAAAAAGAAATAACTCAAGCAAATAAGTTCCCAAGTTCAATTAGATTAATGGATTGATTCTAGCTAAAGTATGATTAAGCCATGGTGTTTGGTCAAAACCTTGTGTTCCTAATTCCTTAATTTGATCATTTGTTGTCTAACCTAAAATTAAGCATTAGGGACCCATTAAGCATAGAAGAACAATTTAAACAACCAAGCATGTATCTAATCCCTGTTGTCGAATGCCCATACATACTCTTCCTATTCGTAGTTCAATTCGAATTAAAGCATGGTGTCTACTCTTAATTCAAACCAAGATAGGTAACATGCAAGCCTAAATGGTGATCAATCATTCAAACTAGCATATTAACTTATAAGCATACTGAATAAGAACAAAAATCATAATTGAAACTTGGAAACTAATTAAACTTGACTACTTAAGAAAGAATGTACATTACAAATAAAACTGAAGTAGAACTTGAAAACTTGAAGGAAAATTTAGTAAACTCATTTTGTTACAACCATTTACAACTTGAAAGGAAACTAAGAGAATTTGAGGGAGATAAGGGAAGGGAGCTCTAGAGAAGTGTTTGAGAGCTCCCCCCCTTGGGGTGTGATTTGAATCTTGAAGGCTTCTCTATTTATAGGGCTAAGAGGGAGGAACATCATGATGAAATCCAACACCACCATTCCTCTTTTAATACAACCCATAACTCACACTTCATCTTGTCTATGTTAGTGTGGTTGGAATCAATCCCATCCCATACTTGTTTTGCTGCACCTCAAGCTTTCTTCACATGGGATCAAAGGTGATCAATTGTGGCTGCCTTTTGCTGCCAACCCATGTGGTCTTCTTTTGGTTGTTGAACAAAAACGAGTCTTCTGAACCAGACTTGGTGTAGGAAGGTCATAGGTTTCAAAACGTATCCAATGGTGCTCAAATTTGGATATGTTATACTAGACACCCATTGGAACAACTTCTATGGAGAAAGTATTCCCATCGGAGCAGTAGAAGTGTGCGTTTTGGGCCTTGCAAGTTGGCTGCCGAACAGAGACTGGAATTGACTTCATTTCATTTCTTTGCTTTACATGCATGCACATGCTTTCTCTATAATAACTCCAGCATGTACCAACTTGCTCCTTTAGAATTTCATAGCTGGAATGCCTCCCCACTTCACTCATTATGTTGGATCCAAAGTCAGTTGCAGCATGGGTGAGGCACA